CACACATACACAAAATAAAACAAAATCCTATTAGGTGGTACGTGTATAAGAAGACAGCATATAGTCATTACAAGCAGTGTAGTTCAGCCAAAAATAAATATTGAGTGGGGTACAGCACAGAGTAGCAGCAGATCGTCAGCCCAGTTATGAAGCGGGACTAGACCATTTATCCAGTATCGGCTGCCATATTTTGTAAAACAATGGACTTCTATTGGAGGTGTTGTATCGAATCTTTTCCATATGGATTACATTCCCTAAATCCCGTAACCACATTTCAAAGGTAGGTACAGTCTCCAATTTCCAAAATTGCAATATGAGCCTTTTGGCTAATAGAGTACAAAGAGAGACAGCTTTCCCCTCCTGGTTATTCCCATCAACTGTACCAAACAGAGCGATCAATGGGTCTGGGGCTAGAACTCTATCAAAGGCCTTAGATAAGTAATCAAAAATGAGAGCCCAGTAAGCCTGTAATTTAGGGCATGTCCAGAATAAGTGGGACAACGTCCCCTCCTCCTGCTTGCACCTCTCACACAGTGGTGAGGTGTCCGGGAATATTTTATGCAGTTTTACTTTTGAGTAGTGTAACCTGTGTATCACCTTAAACTGTACAAGGTTGTGTCTGGCATTCACTGAACTGTGGTTTATATTCCTGAGAGCTTCTATCCAGTCCTCATTTGAGATTTCTGAACCAAGTTCTTGTTCCCAAGCCCTTTTAATGGTGTCTGTGGATACCTCTATGTGGGCCTGTAGCACATCATACAGTCTGGAGACCGACCCTTTTGAATGGGGTTTGACAAGGATCAAGCTATCTAATGTAGGACTATTTGGCTTCATGCCATACTGTGGGATGTGTGTCCTTAAGAAATTCCTGATTTGGAGGTATCTGAAAAAATGTGTTGTTGGCATGTTGAACTTTGCCTGTAGTTGTTGAAATGAAGCTAACTGACCATCTATGTATAGATTACCAATTGTTGTGAGCCCCTTCTCCCTCCACTGTGAAAACACCACATCATCCATTGCAGGGTGGAAAGCATGATTCCGGCTAATCGGGCTGTCTATGTACACAGTGGGTATGTTAAGAAAATCCCTAATCTGTTTCCAGATCCTAAGAGTATGACAAATGACTGGATTGGAGTCATAAGTGGCTTTTTTCACATATGATGGGCTATTAACAAGTGCAGGGAGTGAGGAACGTTGACAGGAGGCCTGCTCAATCAAAAGCCATGAAGGCATATCCTTCCGTCTCATCTCAGGTAAACTTTCCCTCCAGAAAGACACAATGTTCAGATTAGCAGCCCAATAATACAGTTTGAAGTGAGGAAGGCCAAAGCCCCCCTCTATCTTGTACTTGCATAAATGCTTCTTTGCAATTCTGGCTGCCTTGTTATCCCATAAAAATGGAGTTACTATTGAATCCAGTTTCTTAAAATAGCTTTGTGGTATGAAATTGGGTAGACATTGGAAGAGGTAAAGAAACCTGGGTAGGACAACCATTTTAATAGCGTTTATACGACCAACCAAGGAAATAGGCAGAGTTTTCCAGAAATCTATATTTTGTTTAAGTTGATATATTTTCATGTCCCAATTCACTTTCAATAGCTGGTCAAGGTCTCTTGTCACTACAATGCCAAGGCTTGTGAACTTGTCCCTCACTGTTCTAAGCGGGGTAGATTGCAGAAATTGCATATCCACAGGCCGTGATATTGGCATCATCTCACTTTTTTGCCAGTTTATCTTGTAGCCAGAGAAGGAGCCGAATGTGTTTATCAATTTAAGTAATGGTGGAATAGACGTTTTAGGCTTGGACAAAAACAAAAGAACATCGTCTGCATATAGGGAAATTTTGTGCTGTGTGTCTTTTATTTTAACAGAAGCTATATCGGCACATGCCCGAATGCGCGTAGCAAGGGGTTCCATGGCTATAGCGAAGAGAGCAGGCGAAATAGGGCACCCCTGTCGGCACCCCTTGAACAGGCGGAATGACTGCGACATTTCCTGATTGGTCACCACGGACGCCATTGGGTGTGCATAAATAATTCTTATCCAATTAATAAATTCCTTTCCAAATCCGAAATGCTCCAGAACCGACATCATATACTTCCACTCAATCTGATCAAACGCCTTCTCTGCATCAAGAGCTATTACCACTGCCTCAACTTTATGATCATGATACATTACGTTGAAAAGGCGTCTCAAATTGTAGTATATATGTCGGCCCGGGATAAAACCTGTCTGGTCAGGGTGTATGATGTCGGAAATATATTTTTTCAATCGGTTTGCCAATATCTTTGTCAACACCTTGTTTTCTATGGGGAGTAACGACACGGGGCGATACGACGACATAGCTCTATTTCTTGAGAGTGGTTGCATTTCTCCAGGCCCATCCCTCAACTTTTTAGGTGGGGTTTCAAGGTATGCAGGTATCCAAAGGTAATAATAATAATAATAATAATAATAATAATAAAATATTACATGCAGGTCTTACAAATGTTTTCATCAGAAGTACATATGAGGTACAACTACACTTTGTTAATGCCCAGAATAGTTGTTCAGAATAGTTAGCTATTCATACTGATACCTGACTGAAGTGTAGCCCCATATGAGGCACAACTCATACCAACATCCCCCCCCTTCTGGTTTTAAGAATTCATAAAAGAGGGTTTTACTGTCAGCTTCAGATGTCAGTTATTCTTCTTGCTCTCTAAAACAATTCCATCAGACAAAGCACTATTTTAAAACAGTGGTGGGAGTTTTCATGTCAAGCATGGGGCTTTTCACTTTTGGATGTGGAAATTATTTATTGCAGTCCTGCTGCATTCTCTAAAAGTTTAATGTCACCCACCAAAGTGGCTTTACATGCAAATGTGGGTTTGGTGTTTCTTCTTCTTCTTCTTCTTCTTCTTCTTCTTCTTCTTCTCCCCTGTCATTTTCCTCTAAAAGCTATATGAACTAGGCACCCTGGAGTAGCGTGTTCCACATGGCTTAACTCTGCCCTGCTAGCCTATAAATAGATCCATTTACATTGCATTTCATGGCTGAGCTCTCGCTCAATATTTCAGGGACCCACTAGTAAATTGACTATTAATAATTTATAAACTTTACTTGTTCATTTCATTTTGCACAAGGATACAAAGCATACACATTCCATACTGACTGGACTCTATCTATGGAATCAGTGCTTTACCTCTTCGATCTTTAAATTATTCATATGCTTCACCTTGTGTACCGGTAGATCAGATGGCACAGATTTTGTTATATAAAAACCTTATATAAATGATTGGACCTCAGTGAGGTATGTGATAAAGGTGTTCATTGGCACCAGATCGAAGGAGACTAACTGAAACAGGACTTGTCCAATATGTGCCCTAATAAACACGACCCTGCCTGAACACTGTGCTTTGGTTCCAAATGTCACCCTTTTCCCCTATATAGTGCACTACTTTTGATCAGAGCCCTATGGGCCGTAGTTGAAAGAGGCACGCTACATAGATAATAAGGTGCCATTTGGGACGTATCCTGTGTGTTGCTAACGTATCCTGTGTGTTGCTAACGTATCCTGTGTGTTGCTAACATAGTCTCACATGTGGGTCACCTGAGTGAGTGTGTTTGAGTGTTTCGCTCCAGTGCTCCTGACCTCTGTCCACTCCGTTGGTCAGATGAACACCTGACCTCTGTCCACTCCGTTGGTCAGATGAACACCTGACCTCTGTCCACTCCGTTGGTCAGATGAACACCTGACCTCTGTCCACTCCGTTGGTCAGATGAACACCTGACCTCTGTCCACTCCGTTGGACAGATGAACACCTGAAGGGAGATGACAGATCAGCCATCTGCCTCTTTTCCTGGAAGGTTTTTGAGGAATAATCCAGCAATCTACTGTGCCTTACGGCTTGGATATGTTCCAATTCCGTTCTATGGATGTTAATATTCTATTGAGCACACAGAAAAGCATTACAAGACTAGTCCTAACTCCTCACATTTCCTCCCTCGAGTCTCTACTCAAGACCTAGGGCTATGTTCAATCAGATCCACTTTAGCCGACATCCGCATAGTGGTTGTTTTGGCGGTGTCGGAGATGAAACTGCTTTAGAGCTGTAAAATCCACAAACGGATCCTGGAATTATACCTAAAGCGGACATTGCCATTGGCTGCACAGAGTCGCATTAAAGAGAAATCTCACTGGAATGCGAGATGCAATCTACACCAAATCTTCAACATTTTGTTTAATGATTTACAATTTGAGCGTAATTATTTCTATATAGCCTACACTTTCTCGTTATGAACTTCTAACGTGAATGGGAAGGGTGTGGCTTCATGACAATGATCACAAGAGCAGCTGCTCACCGATTTGACAGCTCCAACACAGTTCCACCTCCGACACCATCAAAACATCAGCTATGTGGGTGTCGGTTAACGCTTGATCCGATTGAATCTACGGCGTTTGTTTATATTTACATTATTTACAAAGATTGGGGTAAAACGAGCTTATATTATGGTTTCTGATGGGGTACGACAGTTTAACTATGCTCATGAGGCATTTATGAGTTATATTCTTCAAGAATCAATGGGTATATATCAGTCCAAAAGTGGATGTAGCAATCAAGGAGTATATATTTAACATGGAGAGTGTGGAGGTACATAATGTATTTGCCATATTGTATTACAGTGCCATCTAGTGTTGCCTACTGATCCAGTGCCTTGTACAGCTCCTACTGCTCCTCTGTACTGATCAGCACCATGGACAGCACCCAGCACCATGGACGGCACCCAGCACCATGGAGGTCACCTGGCACCATGGACAGCACCCAGCACCATGGACGGCACCCGGCACCATGGACAGCACCCAGCACCATGGACGGCACCCAGCACCATGGACGGCACCTGGCACATCAGTTTTCTTTTCTTCACGATGATTAAGCTACTAGTCTATTCTTTCAATAGTGTATTCTATCAATAGTCTATTCTATCATTTTCACCAAAAGTTCAACAAACACAGACACTTTTTCCAGACCTAGAATTCTTTATTTAACTGAGTTCAGGCCTTGGAAGGAAAGGTGTGTGTGTAGGGTGGGTTTGGGACTTAATAGGAGTGGTCATGGACATACTCCATGATGTCCTTCAGGGCCAGCCAGGTCTCAGAGGCAGTGGGGATGATCTGATTGGCTGGCAGGATGAAACCATAGCGACCGGTGTCCCTCAGCTCGAAGGCAAAGGAGTATTTGATGCCCAGGTTGTAGGACCAATCGATGCTGCCTCCGCTGGCTTGGTCTGGAGGGGGAGACATCACATATTAATAAGGGATTCTTATTTTCAAATCATTAGTTTAAGTTGAAAGTATTAGATTGAACTACCATACTGTGCTTTCCAGTTCTGGCGGGTGGGTCGCATCTAATGACAAACCAACTTCATTGAAACACTAATAGTACAACAATTCTGAAATATTGAATACTCACAGATGATCTTGCAGATGCTGCCAACCTTGTATGTGGTTCCATGGAGAGAGCTGAGCTTCTGGACTGCAGACCTGCCCACAGAGTCCTACCAGAAAGCAGCAGAGACAGGAGAATCAGTGGATTAGTGTGTGTGTGTGTGTGTGTGTGTGTGTGTGGTGTGTGTTATGTTACCAGTTCAGCCGCGTGGAACGCATCTTTGCAGGTGTATCCGTAGGGGTACATGAGCAGCTGGGAGTAGGCGTGGATGGAGATGAAGGACTTGAAGTTGCCGTGGTTCTTCACCAGGTTCACAACGTTCTTCACCTCTATCTCAGAGTGGGGAGACGGGCCGTGGTAGGAGTCAGAACAGGGGTTGGTACTGGCACCGGGGCCTGGAGAAACACAAACACACATAAAGACACGGATAAACACAGGTTATTCTGCATACAACAAAAAGGTTTGTCATGTTAAAGAAGGAAAGCATTGTCTTCACACCATAAAGTGTTTCTCATAAGACTATGCTTTTCACTCATTTCATCTTATGGACAGGTTGTGGAAATCTATGCCATTGTCAACCTGTGACACCCACCACCAAAGCTGGTATGGGACTGTAACCTTACATAGTTTTGGTGCTCAAAATGAGGCGTGATACCCACCTCCAAAACCGGCATCCCAGTTCCTGTTGGGGTCGACACCACGGCACGTGGAGCCAGAGTTCTGGGAGCGAGTCTTGCGCCACATACGGTTCTGTGAACCATGAGGACACAAGACTCTAACTCAGTAACATTATACTGGTATACCATGAGGACACAAGACTCTAACTCAGTAACATTATACTGGTATACCATGAGGACACAAGACTCTAACTCAGTAACATTATACTGGTATACCATGAGGACACAAGACTCTAACTCAGTAACATTATACTGGTATACCATGAGGACACAAGACTCTAACTCAGTAACATTATACTGGTATACCATGAGGACACAATACTCTAACTCAGTAACATTATACTGGTATACCATGAGGACACAATACTCTAACTCAGTAACATTATACTGGTACTAACTAACTCAGTAACATTATACTGGTATACCATGAGGACACAAGACTCTAACTCAGTAACATTATACTGGTATACCATGTAGCACAACCAGGATTGTCCTCATATTACTCTACGTTGAGACACACTGAGGTGAACAGATGAAAGGTCACACTTTACACTTCACTCTAAATCCCACCACAGTATAGCCTTAATGTAGAATTGTATTTAGTTATGTATAGGCCTATATGTTACATCTATAGGAGGTACCTACACTGGTGTGGGAGTGGACGTAGACAGCAGTATAGTTGTATTATAGCACTGTATATGGTATGACACCTACACTGGTGTGGCTGTGGACGTATCCATCAGGGTTGGCCAGAATCAGCAGGTAGATGTCCATGGTTTTCAGGAGGGAGGTCAGGGAGGCATCAGTACCATAGTCACTGGCAATCTGAAGAACAATAACATTCATTTGTGAGACACATACAGTGTTGGAATGTTGTTTTTCTGTATAATGTGTTCGTGTTAATTCTGAATACAATAGAAGTCTGGTTTTGCTCTTGGAATGAGAGCAGGTGTTCTCTCACCTTGTTGGCGGTCCACACTCCAGTGGCCTGAGACACCCACTCTCTGGAGTGGATGCCAGAGTCAACCCAGATGGCAGGACGCTTGTCGCCACCCGTGCTGAACTACAACAGAGGACAGAGGTGTTATGGTCTTGTTTCATTCAGCTCTTAGGGAGCAGTGACGCGTTATGGTACATACACACCAACAAATGCAAGTATATAACATTACAGCTATCTCACTCTCTCTCTCTCTCTCTAAAAAAAAAAGATTGTTTTTCCATTTAATCCTCTACGTACCTTCAGGACATACATGGGCCTGCCTTCATAGGAGGTTCCGATCTGTTCCTTGGTGACCAGGTTAGGGTGAGCAGCCACCAGGTCATCCATCCAGCTGTAGATCTGGAGAGAAAAGAAACAACATCAGGATAGTGTCAACATAATGTATGTTATGCAACATAAGTATGATATATGATGTATATAGTATAGATTATATGTAATGCAACACATTATTATTGTATTTTACATCCTCAGTACAATATCAACTCTGCAATTAGAATAATGCATATGTCAAATTGATGAGGGGTGCAATTTGGAATTCATGCAAGTTTGAAGCTACAATATGTGAGTGAGTGGGTGTTCACATGTTTGCATGTTTACATGAGTGAGTGTGTGTGTGTGTGTTTGTTTGTTTGTGTGAGCGTGTATGTGTGTGTGTGTGTGTGTGTGTGAGTGTGTGTGTGTGTGTGTGTTTGTGTGAGCGTGTGTGTGTGTGTATTTGTTTGTTTGTGTGAGCGTGTATGTGTGTGTGTACCGTCTCCAGAGGGTGATAGGCTCCAAAGTTGAAGCTTTTGGAGCTGCGCTCCATCATGTTGTTCTCCTCCATCTCTGCCTTCTCCTCATCCAGGAGTTCCTGAAACAATGACAATACCAATCAAGTTATTACTACCAGTTATTACTGTGAGTTATTACAGTAAGTTATTATAACCAACCAGTGTTGGGGAAGCTATTCTGAAAATATTGTTTACCAAACTACCAATTACTCCTCACTGTAAGAAGTTAACCTACACTAAAGCGACCCTTAAGAAAAATATAGTTTACTTAACTAAAGTTAGTTCACTACATCAAAACTACTTTGTCAGACTACAAATTGCAAGAACAGATCAGTCTGGAGTCAGATTTTAACAGAATGTGTAATTTAGCCTATTAAACAACAAAAACTATGTTTCAAGTGAGAATTAGGCAGGTCTGATGACTACTTCACCCATACTTTATTTTTGCAAAAAAAGTAGTGTGTAGTTCCAGTAGTTAGCTACACTGCTACATGGCAAAAAAAAGTTATTAAAAAGATTTGAATTTAGTTCAGCTACCACCAAACTACTGCAAAATGTAGTTCAATTACTAGTTGAACTACATTTAGTTCACTACTCCCCAACACAGCAACCAACTGAGTTATTTATTACTGTGGTGCCCAAACAGTATCACTCACTATATAAAAGTGCATTTTACAGTCATTGCTACATTCTAAAACCTGGCATTCATCATTATTAGCTACACACTTAGAAAAAAAGGTTCCAAAAGGGTTCTCCGGCTGTCCCCCGTAAAATAACCCTTTCTGGTTCCAGGCAGTGTTGTGTTCGAGACGACCTAAAGCGAGACCAATTCAAGACCAAGACTGTAGCGAGTCGAGTCAAGACCAAGACCGGAGGGGGGGTGAGACCGAGTCAAGACCGAGACTGGGAGGGGGACAAGGGGTCCGAGACCGAGTCAAGACCGAGACCATAAAAATGCGAGTCCAATTCAAGACCATGATTGTAATCTCTAGCTGTGTATAGCCACCGAAAAACTATATGAGGAGAAAAAGTCAGTCACTCACCCACTCCCCCAATGGCATGACATGACATCCTCCTAGCAGCTAGCTAGCTAGATATCTAGTTTACATTAGGTTCTGTGTTTTTAGCTTGCTACATAAACAGATATGCTAGCCTATTAGCCACGTTATGACTGACTTGTAATCATTGCCCTTGCTAGTTTGATTGTATTGACATTCCCAGCGTTAGTTACATTAGTCTGTTTTTGTCCAGAATATTGAGTCATTGAACTGAAACAGTGCATCCCGAATGGCGGCAGCAAACAATGTACCAGGCCAGCTGTGATTTACAACTTGATAGCAATATTTTTTGGACTACCAAGAAATGTATTGGTGAGTTATATTAATCATGCATTGAACTGCATCTATCTATTCTGCCAACAATGGCTTAGTCTGCATCATGGTGTACATTAGTGTACGTTGAGTCAAATATAACCTATTTTCAAAACCACTTATAAAGTTGGTTTTGTAGCATAAACTGGGAATTTGATATTTTAGACTTTTTGATTGTCTGTTTGTTTCATATCTGCAAAGTAGTTAAAACGCTGTCGTTTCCACTTTAAACTTTAGGTCACTGGTTACTTTGTGTGCTAAATGTGAAATGTTTTTTTTTGCAATAGGAAGTAATAATTGTACATTTCGATTGGGAAATGCTTAATGGTTGTGTTTTTGTATTCTTATGATTGGGACCTACTGGCTTATTATGTCAGAGTTTATGGACTGCTTATCCTTTAACATCATGCTGTGTGTGATTGCTGTCTTTCCATCGGCCCTATGCAGTGGTGTAGTGGTGCCTGGAGAACTGGGTATACTCTAAATTTGCTAACAAAATCCCAAATGGCTCGCCCAGCGAAGGAAAGGCACTCGGTGTGAAAATTCCTATGTTTTTTTTGTGAGTTTTCCTATAGATTTTTCAGATTTTCACTCTCAAAATCCCACTTTGTTTTTATAGAAAAAATACATGTGATGATCTAAGTCGACAACAATGCTTAAACCACATCAATCTGATTGGGTGGGCCTGTCAGGGCCTGGCTCCCCAGTGGGTGGGCCTCTGTCCACCCAGGCCCATCCATGTCTACGCCCCTCACAAATAGCCTACTAACCAACACTTTGGACTAAACTTTTTCAATACTTTGTTTGCATACCCATTGTTGCCTTTGTTAGGATTTACAGGTAGACATCATACATTGAAACGTATTAGCTACCCAGTGGCGGCTCCTGAAAAAATTCTCAGGGGGGGCAATTTTTCTGATGATTTAGGTGACCTACACACATTTAAAAAAAGATATGTCCAGCAACAACATGAAGACAGGGGCAGCATATAAGTCAATACCAGAAGCATTTATTGACTGATCTCAAAAGTGTTGGCTTACCAGGGTTGGTGGAGCCCTCAGTTTCATCTTTGCCTCGCAAAGCTAACTCAAACACTCCGCAAAACTTCACACACTGGATTAGCCGGCTGAGGATGTGGCGGTTCTTGCTAATGTCGTAGTAAATATATTTGTTATAGTGAATATGGAATATGATATGTTGAGTAAAATGTTGTGCTAAGATCTATTTAGGTCAGGAGCTGGTTATAAGTTCTGTTCCTATCCAATAACAATGGACAAAAGGGTCCTATCTTGTCAGCCTTGTCAGTTTCAGTTCTCCAGTAAACTTGTGATTATCAACACTAACCTCATCGTTGTGGCGGCGGACAGCTAGCCTGTATCCCTCATCCAGTTGAGTGGGAATGTTCACTCTCCCCAAAGCAGACAATCTCAAACAGCTATCCATGTGGGTCTTTGACAGCTCATGTTTCTTAATCTTTCCTGAAAGATGGTGCATGTCCGTTACACACCAGTCGCTGTCCAAGCGGTGCTGTCTGCCGTGCCGCCTTCAGGGTGAAAGAGTAAGCAGGGGGTAGCAGAAGACTGCATTAGCTACATCGCAGCCTGCTAGCCAGGTTTTTCGTTCGTACCAATTTTTGGAAAATCCTCGGGTGTAGGACTTCCCCCCTTTAGTAGAAACCTGTTGAATTATTAAATTTGGTCTGGGAGGTCCTAATTGTTTCGTTGCCAATTTATCTTCATTTGTTCGCCGACAAAAAGGAACTTCTTTCAAAGACACAATCGAGTTGCACTGAAGCCTAGCCATTTTGATAGTAGTAGTGAATTGATTGACGAGGCTACCCGCTCTTTTCTTAGTTACGTTCATGGTTATGTTACGTATGACGAAAGCGCGTAAGTGCAAGCCCTCAGAAACCCATAGAGATTGTATTGAAAGCTCTGATATTTGAAAAAAATTTATTTTACATGGGAGTCTATGACAGACTTCTGGGCGATTTTCAACCTGACTGAAATCGCCCCAAAAGGGGGGGGGGGGGGGCATTTGAAGCACGACTTTAGCCTGATTGGACATTTAGTGGCACTGTGGCAGATCAGACGTCTAGATTACAACACTGATAACTACTGTTGCCGTGATATAATTGATTAGAAAAAAAATCCCTTCCTTTTCCCGTTTGGCAGTGCGTCGCCCATATCGCCCTATTGAACACACCGCCCCTGTGAATCCTACCCTACCGGCTACCGATGTCATTCTTCTGTGAGCTGCACACTATTGCTGCCTGCAGATGATATTCCGCTGAAACTAGGCTGTGTACAGCGCGCAAGTGCATATATTTCACGTGCTTAGCAATTGTGTAGGCTACTTTGTGGATGATTTCTCTATTGTACTACATAATTGATAAATCGCATACCTCCACTACACTACTTTGATACGCATCAGTAGGGATTAAGAAGTGAGTATACTCAATGCCCACTGAAAACAAATACGGTTTATACCTGCGTATACCCACCACTGGCCCTTTGTGTTTTACAAAAAAGTGCACTCTCCTACATGAGTGCGCTGGTATTACGGTTGAAGTATTTTCAGAATCATGAACCTGTCACACGCTGAAGGCCTATAGGTTCGCCACTGCGCAAACATGTCTATAATATATATATAAAGGCTGTTAAGTTATTAATGTACTACAACACTGGTTCCAGGTAGAACCCTTATTGGTTCCATGTCTGTGGAACGGGTTCTACCTGGAACCAAAAAGGGTTCCTTAAAGGGTTCTCCTATGGGAACAGGCGAATAATCATTTTAGGTTCTAGATATAACCTTTTTTTCTAAGAGTGTACATCTTCAAATCTGTTAATCAGCATGTTATTTATCTTTAAACAATATAATCAGAATACAACTATCTCAAACAGTGGATGAGACAATTATTATCTCTAAATGTCGTTTGAATGACTGTTTGTACTGACAAAGACCAGTCAATGGCGGTAGATCAGCAACTCCAGCCACACATGCTTCGTAAGCAACAGGTGTAGACTGACAGTGAAATGCTTACTCACGGGCCCTTCCCAACAATGCAGAGAGAAAGAAAAAAATAGCGAAATAATAGAAAAGTAAAACATATAATAAAAGTTATAATAAATACACAATTAGTAACGACAACGTAGCTATATACACGGAGTACCAGTACCGAGTCGATGTGTAGGGGTACGAGGTAATTGAGGTAGATATGTACATATAACTAGGAAGAAAGTGACAGACAATAAACAGTAAAGCAACGAATGTGATGAGTCAAAAAAAGTTAGTGAAAAAACGGTCAATGCAGATAGTCCGGGTAGCTATTTGGTTAACTATTTAACTAACTATTTAGCAGTCTTATGGCTTGGGGGTAGAAGCTGTTCCGGAAGTCCTGGATGGCAGGGAGCTTGGCCTCAGTGATGTACTGGGCCGTACGCACTACCCTCTGTAGCGCCTTGCGGTCGGATGCCAAGCAGTTGCCATACCAAGCGGTGATGCAGCCAGTCAAGATGCTCTCAATTGTGCAGTTGTAGAATATATTGAGGATCTGAGGGCCCATGACAAATCTTTTCATTGTGCAGTTGTAGAATGTATTGAGGATCTGAGGGCCCATGACAAATCTTTTCAGCCACCTGTGGGAAAAGAGGCGCTGTTGTGTCCTCTTCAAGACTATGTTGGTATTTGTGGGCCATGATAGATCCTTAGTGATGTGGACACCGAGGAACTTGAATATTACAATATTACTTTATCCAAATAAAACGTAAATGTTCAGATCTCCCAGTAGATGGCGTCAGTGAGCTGAGCAGTGACTAGTCTCACTTGCCAGACTCATGGCCACCAGTGGCTGTGGGAAGAGACTTTGCAGCACAGGAGGTTGGTGGCACCTTAATTGGGGAGAACGGGCTCGTGGTAATGATTGGAGCGGAATCAGTGTAATGGTATCAAATACATCAAACACATGGTCTCCAGGTGTTTGATGCCATTCCATTTGCTCTGTTCCGGACATTATTATGAGCCATTCTCCCCTCAGCAGCCTCCTGTGTTTTGCAGTGACTGACCTGCAGGTTGCTGATCATGACAGAGAACTGGATGTTATGGGCACGGAGGTAGTCCTTGACAGCGTACAGGCTGGAGTAGGGCACGCGGATGTCCACAGGGATCCCAGTGTTCACAGGGTGGAGCCAGAAGTCCAGCTGAAAGAGGAGAAGGGGGTGTTAAGTTACGTAGTGAGGGAATAGGGAAGGACGCCATGATTAGCAGCAGGAAACATGATTGTTAAATGGTCTAAACCAAGTATATTATACTCTTATTTTTATTATACTTACATCCCAGTATGTGTCCTGCTCCAGAGCACGCAGAAATCTAATCTGCTCCTCAGACTCCACATTGACCCTGATGACCTGGTCTCTGTGTGGGAAGGAAGGAAGGCATTACAAAATTATATCAATCTTGTATTAATCTTTCAGTTCATCAGGGAAACAATATTTACATTTCAGTCATTTAGCAGACGCTCTTATCCAGAGCAACTTACAGGAGCACTTAGGGTTAAGTGCCTTGCTCAAGGGCACATCGACAGATTTTTCACCTAGTCGGCTTGGGGATTAGAACCAGCGACCTTTCGGTTACTGGCACAACGCTCTTAACCACTAAGCTACCTGTCGCCCAGTACATTTGAAGTCACATGGTGGTTATGATGAATTGCTAGTATAGACTCAAGTTTCTCAGAGGTTAGAGCCAAGAGTGACTAAATAATCCCATGTCATTGCAAAAGTAATCTTTTTGCGATCCTGATACAAAAATGTGATGGCCCATTGATGTTCTGCAGTGTACAACTAACTGCAGAATCTCTTGGATTTCATGTACTAATCTGCAAAGGGAAACATAATTTATGTAGGTATATTTATTTACAAAGCTTAAACAGATGAACTTACCCAATGAAGACCTTCTCACAGTGCGCGGCTGCAAGCAGCGCAAAGAGTAACAGAACCTTCATCCTTCCGGTGTCCTGTCCAGTACTGCCAACTCTCAAAGCACCTGCCTTTATACTAAGCAACAGGTGCATTGTTCCCATGACAGTATCGCTTCACAATCTACTTTGCTTCACAATCTATGGGGTACTGCCTTTTTCCAATGAACGTGGTTCAATTCAATAGGTCTAGGTGCTAGAGTTATTTTGGGGAATGGACATGATGTCATAGCTCTATTTGTTCTTTCCATAGCATGGTCCGTGGTGCCATTGCCCCCCTCCCTCAGTACCAGCTGTAGATAGTAGCAGTCCTTCTCCCAGACATTTCAGTGTAGGATAAGTGAGCCTACTCAGCTCAATTGAAAGGCCTCCAGAATATAGGCCTTATGGTCAAGACTAAAGTAATACAATAAAATTGAATAGAATAAAATACAAAACAATTCTAAGCAGGGAAGGGAAATCTGCCCATGGCCATTTCAAATTACCAAAGTCATGTGCTCCAAGTGGCCAGCGCCATTGACTTGCAACCAAGTTGATCTGCTTTGCCTCTTGAGTCACTGCTTGCAACCGTGTTGCCCCAAGGCAAGGGGGCAACAGTTACAGCATAGCCAAGAAATGGTGAAAGTAAATAAAATACAGAAAATGTAAATTAAATATAATGTAATAAAATGAAATTATATATTCTAATCTAGATCTATTCTAATATAGATTTACCAACATTTACCAACGTTCTCTTTTTTTATCATGTGACCATCTTTGTTTTAGTGTTTCCCGCCAAGGGAGAAAGCTTCGAGGCAGCGGTGCTCTTCTGAGGAAAAACTTGACTAAAATTGTGTTTGACTACCTAGCTACCCAAAATGGGTTTTCTAAAGCAGTTGGATGTGGACAATTTTAAGTCATGGCGAGGGAAGCAAGTAATTGGACCTTTTAAAAGGTTTAACTGCATTATTGGAACAAATGGATCCGGTAAGTTTTCTTGAACTTTTGTTTTGTCTTGATCAACTTGCTTGCTAGCTAACGTTAGCTTGCAAGGAACAAATGTTGCTTGCTAATCTGTCTGCGTTTTAGCATGGTGTGTAACGTTACTCACTGGCAATACCAAAGACTGTTAATGATCGTTCTGATAACAAGTTTCATACATACCTAGCTGGCATTTCAGTTTGCAACATCTCTCCATAGGTAAGTCGAATGTGATGGATGCCCTGAGCTTCGTGATGGGGGAACGGGCAGCGACTCTCCGGGTGAAGCACACCAGGGACCTCATCCACGGAGCCCACATTGGCAGGCCCGTGTCCACCACAGCCAGCGTCACCATGCGCTACTGCGACGACAACGGAGAGGAGCTCAACTTCTGTCGGAGCATATCGGGTGAGTTGGATTGCATCTAAGGGCTAGCGACTATATACTTTTTTCATATGAGAAAAGAGTGTTATCAAGTGGACTCATACCAGGGCCGGCCCGCTCATTAGGCAGGAACGATGAGGACGGCATTTTCTGAGGTAAACTCTCCAACAACAACACATAAAACCTCACCTAATTCTGCCCCAAAACAATGACAATTTATCTCAACCAGTGGCATATGAGTCTTTTTATGTGAGCGCTGATGCCGCCCCTTGATAAGCAGTGCCCACTTTGTCAAATGCAGGGGCGCAAAATATTTTGCTTGTTGGAGAGAGGCATCGCTGCAGCACACCACCAACATTCCATCAAAAAATTCATCTAACATAAATCATGCAGCAGATATAGGATATAACAGAAAGAGTATGTGGTCTATTCTGTAGCCTACAGGCAGGAGATAAAATGTATGACAGTGTGATGACAGACACTTTTTACATCATGCAGGTTTCTCTGATAAAATAGCTTAACCTAAATGGCACCCAATCAAATAAAAAATGCGCTGTCATGTTGACAAACAACATATCCTAAAAACTCCACAGGTCAAAGTAAAATGGACAATATGGAATGGACAATCACAAATGTTGTCCAGGAGTTTCACCTCATTGTCATGATCAGTGGTTTCAAGTTTGTATCCATCAATTTTTTTGACAAGCTGATCATAGCGAAAAATAAAATACCGGTACTTCTGCATTTACTGTTGTGGAAACACATTGCAAATAAGCTCACAGTAACTCCTGATAAAGTTGGGTAGCTGATATTCAGAGCTTAAATAGCCAAATTGATTAGTCACAGGATCAGGACTAATAAAGCCAATGTAACGGCCTGTTTTACAAATGGTGGGCGTACCACATGGATGGGCATTCATAAAATTCAATTTCAGGCACCTCAGTAAGCACGGACCGACGCCGACCTTTTGGACGTCGTCTTTTTTTGGTGTAGTCCGGAACGGCCTTGATTTCCACATCCACTGACATTGGTTTTTGGTCCGGTCCAGACCAAATCTGAACCAATCATAGACGTCTATGTTTGGTTCAGATTTGGTGCGGTGCAGACCGGCCTTGACGTCAACGTCCATGGACATTGAATTTTGGTCCGGACCAGCCTTAATTTGGCCCAAACATAAACGTCTATAAATTACATATTTTCAACTTTCATTCAGAACCAAAAATGAGCCGGATTTCAACATCCGGAAAATACATATTTTTCAACGTCCAGAAAAGATGCCTTTGCAACGTCCTGGAAAATATGTATTTTAAATATCCGGAAAATACGTATTTTCACCTTTCATTAAGAGCGTAAATTGAACTTAACTTCAACGTCTGGAAAATACGTATTTGAGACGTCTTTTCAAAGTCGTTTTTCATTCTGACCTGGTCTTGTCTTATTCAGCAAATATTTAGCACACATTTTGTCCAGTAGTATATGCAAATACTAGCTCAACTAATGATTGTATCTACTTTACTGTACTGTATGGACTAATGTTTTGTATCTTCCAGGGGACTCCTCTGAGTATCGCATCAATGGCAGACAAATCACCCTTGCCAAGTACACAGGCGAACTGGAGAAGATAGGCATTGTGACCAAAGCTAGAAACTGTCTGGTATTCCAGGTAAGCAAACACACAACTTCCAGTATTTTATCATAATTCATAATGTGGCTAATTACAGTGCCATTCATTAAAGTACATAAGAAATTCAGAGACAGTTTAATAGTGACCTCTGTTTTATATTTCCTGTGACTCCATACAGGGGGCGGTGGAGTCCATCGCCATGAAGAACCCCAAGGAGCGGACCAAGATGTTTGAGCGCATCAGCCAGTCTCTGGAGCTGTCTGATGACTATGACAGGAAGAAGGAGGCTCTGCAGAAGGCTAAAGAAGACACGCAGTTCCACTTCAACAAGAAGAGGACCGCCACCGCAGAGAAGAAGCAGGTGTCCTCAGAGAAAGTCGAGGTAGGATAAGAAGACAGAGAGAGGAGATTCTCCATTTATCTGTCATAAGACTTAACATAACAATGTCATAACAGTTATTATAAACTGGATGGTTCGAGCCCTGAATGCTAATTGGCTGACAGCCGTGGTATATCAGACCGTATACCATGGGTATGGCAAAACATTTATTTTTACTGGTCTAATTAGGTTGGTAACCAGTTTATAATAACAATAATGCACCTCGGGGGTTTGTGGTATATGGCCAATATACCACGGCTAAGGGCTGTATCCAGGCACTCCGCGTTGCATCGTGCATAAGAACAGCCCTTGGCCGTGGTAATTTGGGCATATATAACACACCCCCTCGGGCCTTACTGCTTAAGTAAATGACAACTTGCTTTTTACCCAGTCACATTGTGGTTAAAAGTCATGGAAAAGTTTTGGAATTTCAATTCACAATGTTTATGAACCCTGTCCCTCTCTTCTTCCTCATCCCCCAGGCCCAGAAGTACCAGGAGTTGGTGGATGACCTGAACCAGGGGAGGCTGCAGCTAAACCTGTTCCAGCTGTACCACAACCAGCAGGGCCTGAGTGCCCTGTCACAGACACTGAGGAAGAGACAGGAGGCTGTGGCTGGCCAGAAGACAGGCCTGGAGGGGTGGGAGCAGACCGTCAAGGCCCAGAAGAAAGAACATGGACGTTTTACCAGAGAGCTGCAGCAGATTGAGAAGGAGATCCGGTGGGTTGGAGTGAGGAGGGAGAAGTGTGTGTGTGTAGAAAGATAGAGAGGTGTGTGTGTGTGTTTATTACTAACTAAACTAAACTCCCTTTTTTCCTCCAGTGGGCAGGAGCAGACCCTGTCCCTGCGTCGGTCCCAGTACATCAAGGCCAAGGTGAATACGGCCCACCACCTAAAGAAGGTAGATGATGCCGGTGGGGCCCTGCAGAAGGGCCAGAGGACGAGGGCCAAGAAAAAGGAGGAGCTGGCTGAGTTCCATCAGGAGCTCCTGGAGCTGGAGAGGGCCTGGAGGGACTATGAGAGACATGCCCAGGAGGAGTGGGCCAACCGGGGGACTGACATACAGCTGGAGGAGGAACAGGTGATGGGGGGCAGAGGGCAGTAAGAGGTGTTTGTGTGAGAAGCTGCCTGTGACAGCAACAGCATACATTGTGCTAGGAGAGAAGCACAAGAGGATTGGGGGGTTGAGGGCGTGGAAATGCTACAACAGGGACCGCAGCAACGCAAATACAGTAGGTGCCATGAGGTCATTGAATCAACATCATCACATCAGCTAGCGACAAATCAAGCAGCCAACAGCTATTCTTTATAAAAAATACACTGAACAAAAATATAAACGCAACATGCAACAATTTCAACGATTTGACTGAGTTACAGTTACTTATGGTAGAGAAATGAACATTAAATTATCTGGCAACAGCTCTTGTGGACATTACTGCAGTCAGCATGCCAATTGAACACTCCCTCATAACTTGAGACATCTGTGGCATTGTGTTGTGTGACAAAACTGCACATTTTAGAGTGGCTTTTTATTGTCCCCATTACAAGGTTCACCTGTGTAATGATCATGCTGTTTAATCAGCTTCTTGATATGCCACACCTGTCAGGTGGATGGATTATCTTGGCAAAGGAGAAAATGCTCACTAACAGGGATGTAAACAAATTTGTGCACAAAGTTTTAGAGAAATGAGCTTTTTGTGTGTATTGAATATTTCTGGGATCTTTAATTTCAGCTTATGAAACAGGGGACCAACACTTTACATGTTGCGTTAATATTTTTGTTCAGTGTAGTTCAGGCCCATGTACTGTGTGTGTGTGTGTGTGTGTGTGTGTGTGTGTGTGTGTGTGTGCTCTGTGTGTCTAGTTGGAGCGCTATAAGGAGCTGAAGGAGCTGGCCAGGAAGCAGGGGGCCCTCCTGTCCCAGCAGGCTGAGAAGATGCACTGGGAGGTCAAGGCTGACCACCAGAAAATCGAGTTTGACCAGCAGAGGAAGAAAGAAGTGGAGGTAGGTACTAGATTCGTGTGTGTGTGTGTGTGTGTGTCTGTGTGTGTGTGTGAACCAAAATTGGTATTGACTTTCTCTGTGGATATAGGTGAGCATTAAGCACAGCCAGACTCAGCTGGAGGACTTCACCAGGAGAGCAGACAAACTGGAGGAGTACACCAACACCTGCAAGTAGGTCATGTGTTGTGGTGTATGTTACTGATATAGTTACATATCACAAAATTATTTTGGACGATATTATATAGATACTTTGACTCCCAATTTTGTTTATGATTTTTGCTAGGTAGCGTTAGCTAGCGCTAGTCGGCTGTACCTGCGCCAAAACTCCTGTATTATTTATCCTATAGCTTGTTCTCCATTTTCTTTTTAAAATAGTGAGCCAACATGTTTTCAGCACTTTTATTACCATGACTGATCAAAACTCATTTTCTAATGCTCTCTTGTCTCTCTGCAGCAGACATGGTGTGCAATATGTTTGGAATATCAAATTGCAATAAAATCGCAGTAATGAATCACAATACATAGAATCACAATACATATTGTATAGGCACCTAAATATCGTGCTAATATCATATTGCCAGGTCCCTGGCAATTCCCGCCCCTATTGTATGTGTGTGTTGCTGTTCTTAAAAAAAAAAAAAAGGAGAACACTACTTCAATATTTTTGTCAGGGTTAAGCACCCCATTCATTATACATCTACTGTTGGCTGCATGTGTTTTTCTTCTGTTCAGGAGCTCCCTGGAGGAGTCTCGTCAGCAGGAGGAGGTGCTGTCTGCGGAACTGCAGAGGGGGAGGGTGAGGGGGGAGGAAGTGAACCAGGAGTTAGGGGAGGTACTGGGAGAGCTGCAGAACGCCAGGCTGGACAGCCAGGAGAGTAAGAGGCAGCAGCAACGCAACGAGGTCCTAGAAAACCTACGCAGACTCTACCATGACACACTGGTGAGACATCCCTGTCTCACTGCCACCAACATCTCATTAGATCAAATTTGGTATATATGACTGACCGCCTTGATTCGGTCTTATGTAGCAAAATTTGAAATGGTGTTTTTTTTACATTGGATAAAAGCTGAGACACAGATCTACAAAATGGTACAGTGGGGAAAAAAGGTATTTAGTCAGCCACCAATTGGTGCAAGTTCTCCCACTTAAAAAGATGAGAGAGGCCTGTCATTTTCATCATAGGTACACGTCAACTATGACAGACAAAATGAGGAAAAGAAATCCAGAAAATCACATTGTAGGATTTTTAATGAATTTATTTGCAAATTATGGTGGAAAATAAGTATTTGGTCAATAACAAAAGTTTCTCAATACTTTGTTATATACCCTTTGTTGGCAATGACACAGGTCAAACGTTTTCTGTAAGTCTTCACAAGGTTTTCACACACTGTTGCTGGTATTTTGGCCCATTCCTCCATGCAGATCTCCTCTAGAGCAGTGATGTTTTGGGGCTGTCGCTGGGCAACACGGACTTTCAACTCCCTCCAAAGATTTTCTATGGGGTTGAGATCTGGAGACTGGCTAGGCCACTCCAGGACCTTGAAATGCTTCTTACGAAGCCACTCCTTCGTTGCCCGGGCGGTGTTTGGGATCATTGTCATGCTGAAAGACCCAGCCACGTTTCATCTTCAATGCCCTTGCTGATGGAAGGAGGTTTTCACTCAAAATCTCACGATACATGGCCCCATTCATTCTTTCCTTTACACAGATCAGTCGTCCTGGTCCCTTTGCAGAAAAACAGCCCCAAAGCATGATGTTTCCACCCCCATGCTTCACAGTGGGTATGGTGTTCTTTGGATGCAACTCAGCATTCTTTGTCCTCCAAACACGACGAGTTGAGTTTTTACCAAAAAGTTATATTTTGGTTTCATCTGACCATATGACATTCTCCCAATCCTCTTCTGGATCATCCAAATGTACTCTAGCAAGCTTCAGACGGGCCTGGACATGTACTGGCTTAAGCAGGGGGACACGTCTGGCACTGCAGGATTTGAGTCCCTGGCGGCGTAGTGTGTTACTAATGGTAGGCTTTGTTACTTTGGTCCCAGCTCTCTGCAGGTCATTCACTAGGTCCCCCCGTGTGGTTCTGGGATTTTTGCTCACCGTTCTTGTGATCATTTTGACCCCACGGGGTGAGATCTTGCATGGAGCCCCAGATCGAGGGAGATTATCAGTGGTCTTGTATGTCTTCCATTTCCTAATAATTGCTCCCACAGTTGATTTCTTCAAACCAAGCTGCTTACCTATTGCAGATTCAGTCTTCCCAGCCTGGTGCAGGTCTACAATTTTGTTTCTGGTGTCCTTTGACAGCTCTTTGGTCTTGGCCATAGTGGAGTTTGGAGTGTGACTGTTTGAGGTTGTGGACAGGTGTCTTTTATACTGATAACAAGTTCAAACAGGTGCCATTAATACAGGTAATGAGTGGAGGACAGAGGAGCCTCTTAAAGAAGAAGTTACAGGTCTGTGAGAGCCAGAAATCTTGCTTGTTTGTAGGTGACCAAATACTTATTTTCCACCATTATTTGCAAATAAATTCATTAAAAATCCTACAATGTGATTTTCTGGATTTTTTTTTTCCTCAATTTGTCTGTCATAGTTGACGTGTACCTATGATGAAAATGACAGGCCTCTCATCTTTTTAAGTGGGAGAACTTGCACAATTGGTGGCTGACTAAATACTTTTTTTCTCCACTGTATATCATACACTTCATTTAAGGGAACAATGGGAAAGTAATTCTGCTTTTTAAGTTGATAAACTTGTAATCTCACTTTTGAGAAAATGGCCTTTGAATGTTTTGGTACCTAACGAAGAGCTCTTCTTTGTCTACACCCATTCAGCATCGTTCACACCCTCTTAAACTTTAGCCCCAGCCATCTCGTTTTGCTCTCGAAGCGTTCAGAGCGCACACTTGATGCTCTGGCCGATGAGTAGGGTTGCTCCGAGCATTCTGACCTCACAACGGCAGTAAAGCACCCAAGTTAACTGGCTAACATTGGCTAGCTTGCTATTTACTTTCAGACACAAAATTGGGATTATGGTTCATTGTTTACCTCTGGATAACATGAAAACAGCCTAACCAGCTCTGCTAGCAACAATTTCATTACACTTTTCTGCCAACGTTTACTGACACCAGCCATATTCAACGAGTGTTGTGCGTTTGTAAATTAATCGGTTATTCTGCGCTCTGGCATACTCGGACTGAAATTACGAACGCACCCGAAATGGTTACTTGCATAGTGGAGTCTTTTGTTAAGACATGTAGCTAGATAGCAAGGTAAACAACGAACCTAGCTAGGTAAACAATGTGTAAGATCATACACCTAACGTTAGCTAGCGAGCCAGCCAGCTAACGTTAGCTAGTTAAACAATGAACAATAGTGCCAACTCATGTTGTTACTACCCTTGCATGAATCTGCTGGTAGTGGTAGCTAACCGACCAGGTTCAATGTTAGCTAGCTAACATTAGGCTCTAACTAGCCAAGCAAACGTCTCTGAGATACGAATAATAACATCATACACGTAACGTTAGCTAGCGAGCCAGCCAGCCAGCTAGCTAACATTAGGCTCTAACTAGCCAAGCAAACGGCTCTGAGATACGAATAATAACATCATACACTTGACGTTAGCTCGGGAGCCAGCCAGCTAACGTTAGCTAGCTAGCTAGCTAACAGTACACTTTAACTTGAAATGAAACCACTTTCTGTCAAAATTAGAAACGTGTAATATCTGAAAATGTAGTTAGTTAGACTATCTTACCCGTATACATCATCATGCATGATGGACGCGTCTCCCTGTCACGGATGCCATAGTTGCCCCTTAGTTTGAAGATGTAATCTGGAAACAGGTGTTTTCTCTTTAGTCTCATACTCTAATTCCACTGATTTCAAAACTCAAACCTCCAGAAAGTGGAGAGCAACACTTATGCAGCTCCACTACACAATACAATTTTTTAAAAGCAGCGTAAGACAGGATTACCTACACATACTGACCAGCTCAAATAGACAGAAGCCTTCTATATGGCAGACCAATCCAAACTTCTCTCTCGGCATGTCCAGCCCACTCATTATCTCAGCCAATCATGGGTAGTGGGAAGGTTGCTGTCTTTTTCTGTGGCTTAACCAACTAGGCTCGTAATTTAACCATTTTATTCGTATTTACAGATGGCATACAAATTTGTTATTAAGGCACATGAAAGTTCACATTTTCCATAAGGCATTTCTGCCAAAAAAAAGCATTTAGATTTTTTTTTTAAAGAGTTTACTTCAAATGGCTCTCCTGTGTGAGCTTTGAGGGATTGCCTTGGTAGCAATCTTGTTTAGGATCTCGTAGAATCTTGAGATATTTTAAGATCCTGGTGCTAGTATCCAGCAAGATCTCTCTAAGGGTCTTGTAGGATCTTCCAAGATCTTTGTCAGCATCCTGAGTAAGATTTCTGCCAGGGTGTGTTTGTTCCTCTCCTTCCCAGTTTGGTCGTCTGGTGGATCTTTGCAGCCCCATCCATAAGAAGTATCAGCTGGCCGTCACCAAGATGTTTGGGCGCTACATGAACGCCATAGTGGTGTCGTCAGAGAAGGTGGCTCGGGACTGCATCCGCTTTGTCAAGGAGGAGAGGGCCGAGCCAGAAACCTTCCTACCCATAGACTACCTGGACGTGAGTTAGTGGACACAGAAGGAGAGCGAGATTGTTTAAAGGCCCACTCCGCTACGTTTGCTATAAAGCTGAGGGATGGGGGATGGAGAAATGCAACCAGAACTACCTAAAACTAACAACAGAGGCTTTGATTAACACACCCAACACACAAACCTCACTGAGTATGTCCCCCCTCCCTGTCCCTCCCCAGGTGAGTCCTCTGAATGAGAGGCTGCGTGAGGTGCGTGGAGCTAAGATGATGGTGGACGTGGTGCAGTGTTCCCCCACCGCTCCTCAGCTGAAGAAAGTCATCCAGTTTGTGTGTGGCAACGCTCTGGTCTGTGAGACACTCAAAGAGGCCAGAGCCATCGCCTTCGACGGGCCTGAGAGACTCAAGGTGAGTTAGTCAGTCAGCCAGTTGTTCAGCTTGTTTGAGGACTTCAGTTTGAGCGAATCTTGATCACATAATAAAAAGTTATATGGGATTCAAGGTGATATGTAGATCAGTAATTCTGTGCAGTCCAACTGCAATGTACAGTAGACAATCTCAAACGTTCACAATTAGTCAGTCAGCCAGCCAGCCAGCCAGCCAGAGTTCCCCCCCATCCACTTCACTGTGGTAGCACCCACTGCTACTGGTAGTCATGGTTACCTTGATATTTCCCTTAGACGGTGGCTCTGGACGGTACCATGTTCTCCAAATCAGGGGTGATCTCTGGGGGCTCCAGCCACCTGCGGAGCAAGGCCCGGCGCTGGGACGAGAAGGACATGACCAAGCTGAAGGAGCTCAAAGAACAGCTGACTGCAGAGCTACGAGTGAGTCTGGGTCTTTGCACACGTCCAGAATCTAGATTTTGAGTCTGGAAATCGAATACATTTGTTATTATTGTAAGTCAGGGGATTCTAGAATATGCACTGCTAAACCGCTAACTTATTCTCTATGCCTCAAGGAGTGTCGTTTTTCTGACCAACCTGAATGGGAAGATCATCTGAGACAGTCCTTTTATTTCCACTTCCTGTGTCATGTGACAGGGTCTGGTGAAGCTGAAGCGTAAGGAGTCTGAGCTGAAACAGATCCAGTCTCAGGCTCAGGGGGTTCAGACCCGTATGAAGTACTCCCTCACTGAACTGGACACCCTCCGCAAGAAGAGCATTCCCAACTGCCACGCGGTAAACTACACTAACACTGTTACTGTGGCTGTAACTTACTCTGACTACACCATCTGCAAACCACCACTTATACTTTAATTCAACATGTGTGTCTACTTACTTACTTTTACTCCAACAAGAGCATAGGCCATCAACAGTTTTTCAGCATATCTTAGGCAATGTTTTTTCAATCTGTGGCCTGTCGCGCACATCTCATGTCTTGACAACTTGCGTGTCTCTCCCTTCAGGAGATGTCTCGCCTGGAAGCTGAGCTGGCCAACGTGGAGTCTCAGCTGGAGATGCAGAAAGAGAACATGGAGGTCAAGGAGCTGGAGATGAAGAAGCTCCAAGACAGGATCAACCAGGTCAGGACGCACTGCAACCATGACTATTTAGAATAATGTTTAAATCAAGTGGCAGGTAGCCTAGCGGTTAAGAGCGTTGGGCCAGTAACCGAAAGGTCGCTGGTTTGAATCCCTGAGCCGACTAAGTGAAAAAAATCTGTTGATATGCCCTTGAGCAAGGTACTTAAACCCTAATTGCTACTGTAAGTCCCTCTGGATAAGAGCGGCTGCTAAATGACAGACACCTGTTATTAGTGGCATAGCTAACACAAACAACGCCAGGTTTTTACATAATTTAGCAGACGCTCTTATCCAGAGAGACTTACAGGAGCAATGTGCCCTGGCTCAAGAGCACAACAACAGAATTTTCACCTTGTCGGCTCGGGGATTCGGACCAGTGACCTTTCGGTTCCTGGCCAAACGCTCTAACCGCTAGGCTCCCTGCCGCACTCCCAAGTATTTATAGTATGTCGCTGCCATAGAGTAGGAACGTTCTGCCTACTATGTCTAGGGGACCAGGTTAGCGGTAATGTTGTTGTTATTGTTCCGTGTTCAGATGGAGGACGTGGTGTTCTCAGACTTCTGTGCTGAGATAGGAGTGGCCAACATCAGGGAGTACGAACAGGAGCATCTCAAACAGCAGCAGGATGTAGACAGGAAACGGTACTGGACTGGACCACCCCACATCACATACAGTATATGTGGTCTATGGAACGATGATGTTAATACGTTTGTATGGTCTGATTGTACAGTATGCTTGTTCTTATACGGTGTACAGTGCATTCGGAAAGTATTCAGACCCCTTGACTTTTCCCCCATTTTGTTACGTTACAGCCTTATTCTATAATGGATTAAATACTTTTTTTCCCTCATCAATCTATACACAATACCCCATAATGACAAAGCAAAAACAGGTTTTTATATATTTAAATATCACATTTACAAAAGTATTCAGACCCTTTACTCAGTACTTTGTTGAAGCCCCTTTGGCAGCGATTACAGCCTTGAGTCTTCTTGGGTATGACGCTACAAGCTTGGCACACCTGTATTTGGGGAGTTACTCCCATTTTTCTCTGCAGATCCTCTCAAGGTCTGTCAGGTTGGATGGGGAGCGTCGCTGCACAGCTATTTACAGGTCTCTCCAGAGACGTTCGATCGAGTTGAAGTCCAGGATCTGGCTTGGCCACTCAAGGACATTCAGAGACTTGTCCCGAAGCCACCCCTGCGTTGTCTTGGCTGTGTGCTTAGGGTCGTTGTCCTGTTGGAAGGTGAACCTTCACCCCATTATGAGGTCCTGCGCGCTCTGGAGCAGGTTTTCATCAAGGATCTCTCTGTACTTTGCTCCGTTCATCTTTCCCTCGATCCTGACTAGTCTCCCAGTCCCTGCCGCTGAAAAACATCCCCACAGCATGATGCTGCCACCACCATGCTTCACTCTAGGGATGGTGCCAGGTTTCCTCTAGACGTGATGCTTGGCATTCAGGCCAAAGAGTTCAATCTTGGTTTCATCAGACCAGAGAATCTTGTTTCTCATGGTCTGAGAGTCCTTTAGACGCCTTTCTTGCAAACTCCAAGCGGGCTGTCATGTGCCTTTTACTGAGGAGTGGCTTCCATCTGGCCACTCTACCATAAAGACCTGATTGGTGGAGTGCTGCAGAGATGGTTGTCCTTCTGGAAGGTTCTCCCATCTCCACAGAGGAACTCTGGAGCTCTGTCAGAGTGACCATTGGGTTCTTGGTCACCTCCTTGACCAAAGCCCTTCTGCCCCAATTGCTCAGTTTGGCCAGGTGGCCAGCTCTAGGAAGAGTCTTGGTGGTTCCAAACTTCTTCAATTTAAGAATGATGGAGGCCACTGTGTTCTTGGGGCCCTTCAATGCTGCAGACATTTTTTGGTACCCTTCCCCAGATCTGTGCCTCAACACAATCCTGTCTCGGAGCTCTACGGACAATTCCATTGACCTCATGACTTGGTTTTTGCTCTGACATGCACTGTCAACTGTGGGACGTTATATAGACAGGTGTGTGCCTTTCCAAATCATGTCCAATCACTTGAATTTACCACAGGTGGACTCCAATCAAGTTGTAGAAACATCTCAAGGATGATCAATGGAAACATGATGCACCTGAGCTCAATTTCGAGTCTCATAGCAAAGGGTCTGAATACTTATGTAAATAAGGTATTTCTGTTTTTTTGTATGTAGATTGATCAGGAAAAAGGTAATGTAATCAATTTTAGAATAAGGCTGTAACATACTTTCCGAATGCACTGTATATTTCTCACAAATATTATTCTATTTTTTTCTTGCCATTCCCTCTCCCACATGTCTTTTCTGTCACTGCCTGAGTCTAATCGTACCCCCTCTCTTTTCCCACCCCTCTCCCAGGTTGGAGTTTGAGTCTCAGCGGACCTGTCTGAAGGCCCAGTTGGAGTATGAACAGGGTCAGCTGGAGCAGCAGAGGAATAAGATGAAGAAACTAGAGGAGACCATCGCCAAGGAGCAGAGCGACGTGGAAGAACAGAAAAAGGCAAAACACACCTCCTCCATCCTCTCCTTTTCTCGACTTCCCTCTCATGTTATCTCCTTTCATCCTCCTTTCTCGTCGCTTCATACCTCCCTTCCCTTTTCCCATCAGCTTCTCAAGTCTTCCTCTAAAACCACACTGAATGTAATCCCAATGTTGTGTTGTTCTCTTGTGTCTCCGCCAGGAGGAGGAGAAGCTACTGGTGGCGGTGGAAGAGAGTCAATCTAAAGTGTTGGATCTGAAGAATCATCTACTGGGGAAGAAGACCCAGGCTTCTGACTCCAAGGCCCAGGTGGACCAAATGATGAAGAGCCTTCAGGAGAGCTCCAGGTACTACTGACTGTGGCTGTTCTGCTGTCAGTTAATTTTGTTCAGTATATGAAATCGATTGTAGGTCACTTCACTGGTCTGATCGCCCTCTCTCTAAAAGCTGATCTTCTCTTCTCTACCCCCTTCCCTCTCTGTTTTTTTTTTTTCTCTTTATCTCCCTCCCCCTTCTCCTCTTCCTTTATCCCTCCCCTCTCTGTGTCCCTCCCTTCTCCCCTCTCCCCCCCCAGAGAACTGGTGAAGCTGCAGAGGGAGGTTATCTCAGCTGAGACAGCCCTGGAGCAGTTGAGGATCTGGAAACACAACCTGCTGCTGGGCTGTAAGATCCAGGGCCTGCCCATCACGCTGCTGTCTGGCAGCTTGGACGAGATCAGTGAGGTGCAGGTAGGACAGACCAGAGACCACAGGAGATTGGTGGCACCTTAATTGAGGAGGACGGGCTCGTGGTAATGACTGGAGCGGAATAAGTGGAATGGTATCAAACACATGGTTTCTATGTGTTTGATGCCATTCCATTTGCTCTGTTCCAGCCATTATTATGAGCCGTCCTCCCCTCAGTAGCCTCCACTACCAGAGAGAGAGAGAGAGAGAGAGAGAGAGAGAGAGCGAGGGAGGGGGGGTAGTGTGCAATAAGGCTGTAAAGTCCAGGGCCAGCCCATGACTCTGCTGTCTGACAGCTTTGGATGAGATCAGTGAGGTGCAGGTTAGGACAGACCAGACACAGATGACAGGGCTGTGTTCACATTCTCCATTCTTATACTGAATGTGTATTGTGTACCACATTGCCAATGTTCTCATGTATGTGTAAGTCAAATTCACGCTCGAGGGAGAATAAAGTTCTATCTCTCTTCCGTCTGATTGACTGCTCTGGCTTTGTCAGCTGGACTCAGAGTCACTCACAGAGAGCACCTGCACCACTATGGATATCTACGAGAGAGAGGCCCTGATTGTCATCGACTACTCTGGCCTGGGAGCTGAGCTGAAGGTAGACCTCATTAATCAATCATCAAACTACAGCATCTCTTCTCAGTCTCTTAGCTTTACGAACTGATCACTATCATACAGATAATGTACTGTATTCATCTCAGAGGGACAGTTATGTATCCTACGTTATGCTGTCCTAACGTGTGTGTGTGTGTCTGTCTTTATGTCTACAGGAACTTGCGGGGGACGAGGTGGACCCCCAGGTAGAGCGTCTTCAGGAGACAGTGTCCTCTCTAGAGGGGGTCCTACAGCGCTCCACAGCCCCCAACCTTAAAGCCCTGGAGAAGATGAGGGAGGTCAAGGACAAATTCCAGGGGGTGGTGGACGGTACAAAGAGCAGACACACACCTCAATACACACACTGTATAGTGCAGACACACACCTCAATACACAAACGCTGTTGCTTAACTTGTCTTGGTGAGTGTATTGTGGGAACCCATTGCAGGCACTAAAAAGTATTTAAAACCCAGAGGTAAGAGGTTTTAGTGACAAACTATTAAGATGCTAGAGCGGCATATTTCAAATGCATTGCAGCATTTGTTCTCCCAATACCACGGCGGGACCTAACTTTTAGTGCCTGCAACTGTTTGAGATCTTTGATTGACTTATAGATTTTATTTGCTAGTTAAAAAAAAGCCATATTCAGAGACAGTACATTTTAAAAACTTGACAGGGATAACACAATAAAGTCAATTACTTTTTTCCGTTGTGGTCCCTTAAAGTTATTGGTGCAATACATATCTCTGTGTGTGTATGGTTGAATGCTGTTCATCTGATTGCCTCCATCTCCCTCTGTGTGCTCCAGCATTTGATGCCAGCACCAAGGCAGCCAGAAGGAGTAACCAGGAGTTTGAACAGGTTAAAGCCAAACGCTTCAGACTCTTCAGTCAGTGCTTTGAACACGTCTCTGTCGTCATCGACCAGATCTACAAACAACTGTGCAGGAACACCAGCGCTCAGGTGTGAAGGCTTGACTCATATAGAAACACTTGTACACACACACACACACACACACACACACACACACACACACACACACACACACACACACACACACACACACACACACACACACACACACACACACACACACACACACACACACACACACGCTTGAAAGCAATCTTCATACTACTGTTTAATAGGCGGCAGGTAGCTTAGTGGTTAAGAGCATTGTGCCAATAACCGAAAGGTCGCTGGTTCTAATCCCCGAGCCGACTAGGTGAAAATATGTCGATGTGCCCATGAGTGAGGCACTTAACCCTAATTGCTTCTGTAAGTCGCTCTGGATAAGAGCATCTGCTAAATGACTCAAATGTAAAATGTAGACACACTTGTTAGGTTTTTGGTGTGTGCAATGTTTGTAATGTGTGTGTGTGTAACACAAGGTGCTTAAAGTACTTGCATTTGGCACTCTGAAATTAAAGTACTAGAATACCTTGAAAATCAGGCATTTTCTCAAGTTGGTACTTGAAAAGTACTTGAATTCAAATGAGAGGAGAAAATGATCAAATACATTTATGAAAAATATTAGGAATATGTCTTTGTCTTATGAATTAATTTCCAGGCAGACTACAGAGTTTTATTTCCTCAGGTGTTTCGCGCTGTGGTTGCGAGGCAAGCTCGCTCATCAGACCCTTCTAGACACATTTTCAAAAAAGCGACTAGCGACAAATCTAGCAACTTTTTCTGGTGTTATTGGAGACTTTTGGAGACTGACGTGAAAGCACGTATCGTTCGTACTCTTCTCAACGAGCAGTGGGTGCTGCCGTGGGCCCCACCCCCGTCCCAAAGCACTCACAGGCGGCCCAGTCCTCGCGCAGCAGTCCCTCCCAGCTGCAGTCAGAGCAGGAGATGTTCACCCCTACGCGTCCAGACTGCAAATGAATCACGCAAATGCCCAATAAAAACAGTTGTTAAGCTGGAATTGTGTAGTAATGCGAATAGCAAATGTATGTTCACCAGCAGGCATGTCCCAAAACTCTGCTCATCACTACTCAAATTACAACATCATCAGTACTGACTTACCGCTCCTGTATGCAGTAAATAAGTAGTGAAACATGTATTATTTAGTAGAACTTGTAAGGTAGTGATGAATACTAAGTTTGTTTATTTTTCATGAGGTTGTGGGTGGCAATATACTGCCATCTGGTGGTGACTAGAAACAATTGCATAAAAGGAACTATTACAAATTGATGGTCCTTGAAAATAAAAATTGGTGCTTGAAAAAGCCCTGGTGTAATGTGTGTGTGTGTGTGTGTGTGTGTGTGTGTGTGTGTGTGTGCCTGAATGTGTGCTGCCCCCTCCAGGCCATCCTGAATGCTGAGAACCCGGATGAGCCCTACCTGGATGGCATCAATTACAACTGTATTGCTCCTGGGAAACGCTTCATGGCCATGGACAACCTGTCTGGAGGAGAGAAGGCCATCGCTGCCCTGGCTCTGGTGTTTGCCATACACAGGTGAGAGAGAGAGAGAGAGAGAGAGAGAGAAGTTCATGGCCGTGGACAACCTGTCTGGAGGAGAGAAGGCCATCACTGCTCTGGTGTTGGCTTTACATAGGTAACACACACAGCAGACATGAGATATGCCCATCACAGCAGCATACAGCACTGAACCTCTGTCTGATGTTTGTTCTCTCCAATCAGCTTCCGTCCTGCTCCGTTCTTTGTCCTGGATGAGGTTGATGCAGCCCTGGATAACACCAACATTGGCAAAGCAAGTTGACATTTTAATTGTGATTAAATATGGGCTGTAACTACGAATATGGCAGTTGGACGCTGAACTGTCTGTCTGTCTGTCTGTCTGCAGGTGACCAGCTTCATCAGGGAGCAGTCCAGAGAGAGCCTCCAGATCATCGTCATTTCTCTGAAGGAGGAGTTCTACTCTAGAGCTGACGCTCTGCTGGGGGTCTACCCTGAGGTACAGTACCAACACACACCTTTATTCCAGACCATCTTTCTCTCACTCCCTGGTTTTGCTGCCTCTTTCTCAGTTCCTCTTTCCTCGTATCGTCTCTCCTTGCCTTCTTCTCAAATCACCAGAGAAGAAGAAGAACCTAGGTTGCTTTCCTCCAATGCGTCTTGAGAAGGAGGCGAGGATATCAGTCCCTGTGACTTGTCTTTCTTTTCTCTCAGTTTAACGAGTGCATGTTCAGCCGCATGCTGACGCTGGACCTAAGTCCCTATCCGCTGAACGAAGAGAACGGAACAGAGAGAGAGAAGGAGATGTGAAGAAGAAAGAACGAATAAACTGTATAGACCCTGACAGCTGATTTCCTGTTTATCTTGGGATAGTACTAAACCAATCTTCAATTGATTGCTAAAAGCATTCACTTAAAATTCATTGAAAATGTTTGTTTATTAATGATAATATATTGATTATTATTATGTAAATTTTTATTCAAGAGGTTTGAATCTACTATGAGCATGTTGTACTCAATATTTTTCTATCATTGTTTAGCTTGAAGCATTTTAATATACCAGGGTTCGATTTCACTGTTTACTGTTTTACTTTATATTTAATATAAATAGTTGCCTCTTTATATTGTCTTTGTGTGTTCTTTTGGCCTGAATTATCTATTAATCATTACAACCCTAAATCACTGTAATAACAGATCAAACGACACAGGCAGTGGGCAATGTGAATAGTGGATAACAGGTGGCAGCAGTGTGTCCGTTTAGGAGCTCTAACAAGGATTTTTAAATATACCAAATTACAGGTCAATGAGGACTTTTGAAAACAACAATTTTTTTAGGTAAAAACCAGCCAGCTTTAAATCTGCAGAAGTGGTTTGGCTGAACCTTCACATGCCCCGACTGAGTTGTTTTCAGCCGCAATTGGGTTTCAACTAAATACAACAGCCACAGTCAGAATGGCTATATGGTAATAATTCATGAAAACAGTGCTTTTTGGTCTTAATTTATGGTTATGCATAAGGTTAGCAGTGTGGTTAAGGTTAGGGTTATGTTTAAAACAATTATGTATACAAACCCTGGATAAGGAAAATGTTTATATATTTTTTATTTGTATGTTTAGCTCACATAATAATTTTAAAGTATCTATTACATAACAAACGTGTCAAAAATGAATCTAGACATTAACAAATGCATTTCTATACCTTCCAAAATATTTTTTACAACGGAGGAGTTCCAAGATGCCTGCGCGGTGGCTTAATTACAGTGTCCCCTGTCATTCATCCAGGGTTTATATACATCACTGGTTAAAATCACATTTTAAAGGTAGGCTGCAGTCCAAACACGTTAGTTTTACCCCCTCAGCCCTAGCTCTAGACACTTTCTCTGGGGAATCTCCGTCGAAACAGGATGCAGTTTGATTGCCATCTTAAGTGGAGGTCCAATTCACAAACATTACCACCTCGGCCCTCGACTTAGCTCGAGGGAGCGAGTGAATAACGTTCATAGCTTGTGGGGTTGATATGACCCACAATTCAATGCAAACTGCAGTCACGTGTCAAACTCCGGTGGTGAAGTGTCAAATTTAATCAACACGGCTGCATTTTCGGCATGTAAGAAACAAGTATGATGCGCTGGCTTGCTAAAAACAATATAACGTTAGATTTTAGCGTTGGCAAATGGGAGTGTCTCTCAAATTGGCTTAGTCTCGTACCCTGGCGTTACAAGCGCCATGCTCTACCAATTGAGCTACAGAGGACCAGTATGATATGTTACGTTTGGTATGGTTACATAAAACAGATGGTTACTTAAGGCAAATACGAAAATAGGCTGGTTGGTTGGGGTGGATGTATAACACGAACGTCTAGCAACCCAAAGGTTGCGAGTTCGAATCTCATCACGGACAAGTTTAGCTGATTAGCAACTTTTCAACTACTTACTACTTTTTAGCTGCTTTGTAACTACTTAGCATGTTAGCTAACCCTTCCCCTATCCTTAACCCTTTAACTTAACTCCTAAACGTAACCTTAACCCCTAACCCCTAGCCTAGCTAACGTTAGCCACCTAGCTAGAATTCTTACATATCATACGAAATGGGTGATGAACATCCACAAATTAATACATACCATACCATACAAAACGTAACACATCATACTAAACGTGTCCCGGATTTAAATACAGAATAATAGGAAATGCTCTGAGACCAGGTTGCAGCACCTCATACCTCTGCACATTGATTGTACTGGTACTCCCTGTATATCAGAGGAGACTGGTGAAGGGAGGACAGCTTATAATAATGAATGGAATGGAGTAAATGGAATGGTATCAAACACATGGAAACCAGATGTTTGTGTTTGAGACCATTCCATTAATTCCGTTCCAGCCATTATTATAAGCCTGTCCTCCCCATTTAAAGTGCCACCAGCCACCACTGCTGTATATAGCTTCATTCTTGTGTATTTTATTCCTCTTGTGTTACCATTTTCTTTCAACTCTGCATCATTGGGAAGGGCTCTTAAGCAAGCATTTCATGGTCATGTCTACACCAGTTTTATTCGGCGCATGTGACAAATATAATGTGATTTGATAGACTGATTTTACAGACGCATGAACAGCACAGTGCACGTGGGAGGGGAGGGCGCGAAGGAGTGAGTCGGAAATGGTGGCGAGTAGTGGGGACGAAATGGAGAAAAAGTTGGTGAAGCAACAGCTGTGCTGGAATGCGAACAATATGGGTGTCAGTTCTGATGGCCAAGGAGGATGAGGGTCAAGGACTGCAATGGTCGGTAGTGGAAAGACATAGGAAGAAGTGAGATCATGATACAGAAAGCATAAAGAGGGCCAAGGTAGGAAATGTCGTGACGTGACTTTCATTAATATGATGACTGTTATTTATTGAATCAACTATGTTTAATTGTTACTCGATTTAAATTAATCATGTAACAATTATCTCATTAGGATTTGGGGCACCACGGAATAAGTTGTTTATAGAGTTACCATCTCCCGAATTAAACTCTAAAAGGTCTTTACCTATCAATATGTATAAAACAGTCAACGTATCAATCATTACCTCTTATCAGTCTCATTCTGAACGGTCACAGAATTCTTGGATCCACAAGAACCCCAACTTTACTTATGATTCAGCACTACACAAATTAGCTTAATTATTTATTTACTAGCTAACTAAATAATAACACAGAATACATACATACTTAAAACATGAGAAAAAGTCCCTAGCGGACTAACAACAGCATGACTGCTTGGATATCAAAAGAGGGAGGAGTAGATAGGGAGAGACAAAGAGAGAGTCAAACTTATTGTTGATACATTTGGAAGCTACCCTCAAAGTAATCATAATACTTTGCTCACGAACCACCGCCCATTTGGGTAAGAAGTCATTAATGTATTTACGTGTAGATGTCTTTGTTCGTCGTCTCTCCGTTGAAACCAATCAATCCTTCTATGGGAAGGGGTAGGTTTTAGTGTCCCGTTTCGGTGTAAGGCTCTGCTTGTCCACCAGAGGTCACAATGTCCTTCTTAGTTGTCCTCGCTTGGAGTGGAGTGTTCAAATAGAACGGATACTCAGATGCACCAATGATTGTCTGAGATGGGATTTTCTCCTTCCCACCTCCTGTGGTTAGTCAAAGTTCTAGATCCCTTTACACGGACAGCTGCAGACTGGCAACGTTCTGGTCATGTGAGTTTATCTTCTTCACCCCGGGTTGAGATTCAAAGTTCTAACCATTTCAAACGTGTGGACTACCGTCTCCACGCTTTCTGGTCTAACCATTTTAAGCCATGTACAGCTCCACGCTTTCTGGTCTAATATAAATTTTGTTACCAAGGCTTAAAATGGTTATGCACTCTGGTAAAAGGGGCGTTCCTACTTGCTTACACGGTCTCTGAGCTCACTCGGGGCATGTCTAGTCACCGTGCATAGCTTAAATGAAAACCTATGATCTCGTTAGAAAACTAAAATCACATTCCTATCTTAACAAAAATACTCTCGTAATTCTCCATATTATATACACAACATATTGGATGTAAACTTGACAGATAAAGTGTGTATACTTTCCAAATTACAGTATTTTCATTATAACATTTTTAATGACATCACAAAATAATAAACAATATGACATGATTAGTCTTTAGATCCCCACTGACCATTCCAAACATTTGGATGTTAGGAATATGTCACGATCGTTGAGAGACGGGTCAGACCAAGGCGCAGCGTGGTATGCGTACATGTTTATTAATACGAATAAACACTAGACAAAATAACAAAACAACGAAACGTGAAGCTCAAAACAGTGGCTACACACAACAAGCCAAACACGAGTCAAGATCCCACAACTAAGGTAGGCAACCAGGCTACCTAAGTATGATTCCCCAATCAGAGACAACGAGCGACAGCTGCCTCTGATTGGGAAGGAGTTGGGAGGGTCGTCAGCTACATGAGAAACACCTGGGCCCGGGTGTGTCCCAGGATAAATGGACCTCTTCTACATTCATTGGGGAGACTCTCTCCATGCAGTCACCTTGATTGATTTTTGTTGTGGTATTTTTGTGGCTTTTGGTTGTTTGCTTTGGCACCTTTCAACACCTTGCATTATTACATTTATGCATGCAAAACACTCACATACACTACTGATTACTGATTACACACACCATTGATAAGTATATTTAGTTTACTTTAGTTAATAAATATATATTTTGGTATTCCTTGTCTCCACGGTGTCTCCCTTTTTGTTACGAACTTTGAGCCGGTTCGTGACAAGTGGGGGCTCGTCTGGGATCTTGAACGTGTTGTGTTTGGGAGAAAACGTGGAGTTAATGTTGTTTTTTTGGGTTGTGTACTGCGTTGGAGAGAGACATTGGTTAGTTTCCAGGCCCTGCCCAGCCTGGAAACTCTTGCTCTACTCGCTGTTGGGACATCGGTCTGAGGAGGTGAGTACAATCGGCTGTGTACCTCAGTGGGAGATTTGGATAGGGTAGTGACATTTGCTACCCGGAGCTATAGCCTTTTCCCCTGATAGGCTTAGTGACGTGTTATGTTTTGGAATACGTTGGGCATGGTTAAATGTTTATTTTTGTGTGGTGTCTGTGGACTGAGCAGTTGTCTCGGGGGCACATCCGTGGCTTGGTGGAATCTACCAGCGTGCTGGGGGGTTTAATTCCTTGCCAGCGGGCTACAGTGCGTAATTACCCACCGCGAATCCGCACGAAGACTAGGGTTGAGTTATTGTAGATTTTGGGGAAGCTCCATATCCCATCTCTCTTCTGTGGTGCTCGGTGTGATTGTCATTTCTCTTGTTGTG